TTATTCTCACTCCTGTCACCTCTGTTGAAAGCACTTGAGCCATTTTCTTCTCCTAATTCAAGTGTTTCCCCTGCTATCCCTCAAAACCTCTTCTGATCTATCTTCCTAAATTTTGGCTCTGATTACATAACTTTATAGTTCAGTAATCTAATGACCCTAATTTGCAAAGGTCTCCAGAACAAACTCCTTATTGCCATAGTGTAAGTAACAACAGAGTACACTGTGAGTGAGAACTGGAGTTAAACAGAATTAAGTTTTGAAAACTGTATCCAACGGTCACTATTAATGTGGTAAGGGTCACTTTTACCTCTCAAAGGTTCAAATTTCAAGAAAAAAGTATAGATAATGAAAGAGAGAAAAAGAAGATTTAAAAGAATGAGTCTAACACAGTGTTACACAATAGAATCTTAATACCTTTCCTCCAGTTTTTCTGCTTACACCAGAAAAACTTTGATAGTGCTCTTACCCAGCATTGGCCACAATGCACCAAGATACCTTCCTCTGTGGGCCCAGATTCCTCCAACCATAGTTTATATATCATTAATTTTATTCTGACTGTATTCTATTTATTATATGCATATTCAGATATAATTACTATTTTGAGAAGTCTTTTCTCCCCTCATCTTTTTTTTTTCCCCAAGACAAGGTCTCACCATGTTGCCCAGGCTACCCTTGAACTCACAGTATCAAGTGATCTTCCTGCCTCAATCTCCTGAGCAACTGGGACTAGAGACATCTACCATCAAGCCTGGCCCTTCTATATTTAAAATGCCTTGAGAACAGAGTTTGATCTTCATTTCCTGTCTCCCATAGTATATTCCACTATGTACTGAGCAAAATAACATTTCTATAGATGTCTACTAAATTGGATTGAGTTGTAAAATTTTATGTGGTTTATCCAATTTTTAAATCAGAGCTTCCTTTTGGTGTAAGAATTTAAAGGTAGGCAGAAGCTGGGTGCAGTGGCACATGCTTGTAACCTCAGTGGCCTGGGAGGCTGAGGAAGGAGGATCCAGAGTTCAAAACCAGCCTCAGCAATTTTGCAAGGCCCTTAGCAACTCAGCAGGACTCTGTCTCTAAATAAAACACAAAAAAGGGCTGGGGATGTGGCTCAGTGGTTAAGCACCCTGGGTTCAATCCTCAGTATCAAAAAAAAGGAGGAGGGGGTTAGAACAGAAAATTAGCATACTGTCATACAATATATCCCCCTAACACCCAAGGAGGTCATGGAATACACTCATTGTTCCCTGAATTTTGTTAATTTGCATCAGACTAAACACCTACTATGGTGAATACATTATTTTTAAAGGATGCAGTCTTCAAAAATAAGTGTTTTTAGTCAGAAAATAAAGACCTCAACATAAATTCCTATAGTAATATCTGCTCAAATCCATCATTATTAAAACTAGAAAAAATGTCCAAAGAACACCTAATTGTACTGAACAGTAAATTTATTATGCTCCAGAATGAAATTTTATCTGATGTTTCTATATTGTTTCCACAGAAACTAAAACCTGAGAAAAATGAGTTCATATATATATATATATATATATATATATATATATATATATAAAACACAACTTTTAGGTTGCTTCATCTAAAATGAACAAAAATTGTTTCCCATTTTATTTTGGGTAAATAATATGAATTTTTAACCCATCTTGAAAATAAAACAACACGAAGTCTAACTTTACAATAGAGATTGCCAAAGTTACCATTTATACTACTTTTAAACAGATGTTCATGTTTCTGCTGATGCTTTAAACGTGGCAAAACCATTAAGATCAAGAGCAGGGTTACAGACCCAGGGTTAAATCTCCTATAGATTTAGACCTTTACCAAATTACTCACCCTCCAGGTCTCTGTTTACTCACCTGTAATATTATAATGGGTGTATCTATCTGTCTGGCGGGTTGCTGTGGGAATGAAGTGATTTAAAGCATTAAGCCTTAAACAAATTTCTTGATGATCGGTTGTAATAATTGAGAGCCCTTATTACATAAATTTATCTAATAATTTGCCACTTGAAGATACATATAATCTCAGCTACCTTTTAGAAATATTCTTTGCAAAGCCGTCTTTCAAAGGAAATCCCAAAGCCACGGGAGGTTGGAGCCTCTGCTGCAGGGCTGCAACTCACGCGCGTGGCTTCGTCACGGACCCGCTCCCGAGGACGCCACTGCTCCGCGGCGCTGAGCTCAGTAGCGGCCCAAGGAAGCGGCTGGGCGCGGGCCCGGGACTGGCGCCCTAGCCTGGACCCGGCTGCGCGGCAGGTCCCAACCAAGCCGCCCGCGCCGCCCCGCCCGCCAGGCGGGGATGAGTGACGGCGACAACAGGTGCAGCGTGGCGTCTGCGACTTCTCCGGAGTCCCCGAGTTTGGCGCGTCAGGCTCGGGGGTCAGAGTTTGATTCTGAAAAGTTGTCTCCCTCGCCTCGCACCAGCCTTCGGAAGTCTCCCCTTCTGGCTTCTTGCGCCTTAATAAAGCCTTGAAGTCACCTCAACCTCTCAAAACGCACCAGTGGAGGACAGTGAAAAGCGTGCGGTGCATGGAGCTTTGCATTACCGTTCGCTCTCTCTTCCCCAACCTTCCGAAAGCCAACGAGAGCGGTTCCATAACCGAGCCCTCGATCCGCATACCCCACTCCCGCCTCAACTTGTTGCGCGCCCTGCCCCTGAGTGGTGCCGCCTCGGAGACCTCGCCGATACCCGTCCGCCTGCCCGCGCCCCTCCCGGGCTTGCAGCGCCCGCCCGCACTGAGGCCTGCTGCCGGAGGCGACGCCGCCAGCCCCTCCCCATCCCCCCCCCAGGTGGCAGGTTCTGGCCCCGGGTCCGAGCCTGCGCCCCTACATCTGCCACTGCCGTCGTCGCCGCCAGGGGGAGAGTCCCAGAGGGAAAACGTGGCGTGGCTTCCTTGGTGTGAAGGTGCCTTCAAATTTTAGGTTTCTACGCCTTTAGCCCGTCTTTGAAGAGCGAAGGGGAAGATGGAGACCGAGTCCGGGGCGGTGAGTACGGCGACCGGCCGGGGCCCTGATGGCGGGGAAAAGGAGCCCCAGGGGCCCCGTATCTGAGGGCCTGGAGGGGCGCACTTGAGAGCATAAACGCTCGCTGTTTGGGAAGAAACATGGCCCGGGCGCCCCACTGAGTGCTGCGAAGAGCCGCCCGCCTGCAGGCCCTGTGGGGTGGTGGCGAGGGTCCACAGGGCCTGGGCTGGGTGCGGGCGGGCACGCCAACTGGGGGAGCCTCAGAAATGGAAGGGAGGCCGCGAGTGGCTGAGACCTGTATGCACCTGGCGGAGTCTCGGCAGATTAAAAACACTTTCCCGCCGAAACTGCGCTGGGCTGCGCCTTTGACGCTCGCTTCTACGGGACTCCGCCTTGCCGCCCACGGCTTGAAGGAGCTGCCAGGCAGTCGACGCCTACACTCCCTGACTGGTCAGTGGGGCCTGTAAATCCCGAGAGACCTGGGAGGATGCAATGGCCCAGGTTGAACCAGGAAGTCTGGCATGGGGTGCACGTCCTGGCCCTGTCAGACTCGGGAAGCCGGGCGGGAGACGCGAGGCGACAGGCTGGTAGCCGGGCGGACCTCCCTCAGGCCTGAAGGGCAGCGGTAACGTGCCGCCGCGCCCCGCCCCGCGCCCAGCTGGCAGCCAATCAGCACGCACCGCGTGAGGGCCGAGGCCTGCTGCACACGAGGCCGGCGGCGGTGTCGGTGCCGTTGAGGGTTCCCGCCACTGTTGCTGGCGGGTTTACCCGGCAAAATTTCTCGCTGGTTAGCCTTCTTTTCCCTCCCGCACTTTGGTGGGGAGGGGGTGGATCCTCGTGGCAGTACCCAAGTCCACGATGACCTGAGAGAACCGGAGGAAGTTGTCTCTGCGGCCCTGTCCCCCAGCGCCTCCACCTGCTGGCCTCGGAGGGGAAGGAGCACCGAGGCCGTGATTGCGACGGTTAGCCCGCCCTCTTCCTCTTGTCTGTGCAGAGGAGGTGATAGATTTCAAGGTTAATTCTCAAGGCCAGAAGGCAGTGAGGGCACATAACTGGAGAATTTTAATAAACCCTTTAGGGCTAGGAGATTTACGAAGCGGGGACCTTCCCGTCTAACTCAATAGCAGCCTCTCTTGGCTGCTTTCATACACTTGCAAAATTGTTGCCAGCGGAATTCGAGGCTTTGTTGTTTAATTCATTGCTAATCCCGGAAGAATTTAGACGTTGCCTCTACCTGAACCTTGTTACTGCTAAGATTAAAATATTTTCTAGGATGTTATTCGTATTCTTTAGCTCTCATCCAAATGAGATCTACGTATCGCCAGCAGATCTCTCCTGCTATGTAATGTCACTATTTTCGATGCTGCCCAGAAGAGAAAAGAAAAATACAGGCCCCCTGTCCTCTTGAATATTACATTACGGTGGCAAGAGACAATAAAATTAATAAGTAAATTATTTGGTGTGTTAGAAAATGTTCAGTGGTAAGAAGAAAAAATAGGCAGTTGGAACGCATGGAGCCTTAGAGACTGGAGAATGAAATGAATTGACCCCATGAATTATAAGTATGTAATTTCCTCTTTTTTTTTACAAAATCAGTTCAATCTTCTAATACACAAGTACATTTAAATTTTTGATTTTTCAGGCTGAAAATGGTGAACTTGAATGTCAGAGTTTATTAACTTCTCAAGGCCCTTTAGCCAAAGACCACCAGGAATACACCTATAATTTAATAAAGTTGGATCTATTAACTCATTGGAAGAAGGAAGAAAGTACAGCATGGGAGCGCTCAGTGGTCAGTTTTTAGGGGTTCAAGAAGAAGGACTCTATCTTTGAGTGCAAGTTGTCAAGAAGTGAGGGTATTTCTATGATTGAATATGTTAATTCTTATCTAAAAAATCAAGGCTCAGGCTATGATTGATAAACAAGGAATAATCACTCAAATCAGCTAGGATAGAGGGATGTTTGGTCATTCTTCTGATTTTGGAAATGCTTTTGTTTTGTCAGTGTACAGTCCTGATTATGGAGTGGTCTAGTTTTTATCTTGATACATCAGATAGAGTGATCTATGATGTTGGTGTTCCATTAATAATATAACACACCATAATATAACACACCATAGCCTAGCAGTTAGTGCCAGGCCAGCTACCATCTGTCTAGGGCTGCTTTTTTCTTTCTTTAACTTCTTTAAGAGTTTACTAGTCTCCTTGATAATTAAATAATGTATTTAATGATAATTACTGGAAAGTATATTTAAATAGCATATTTAATAGTTAAGAACTTGTCTGTAGTAGATTCTTAGTTTTCTTTATTATTTGTTGGCCCTAAAAGCTATTACCTCTTAATTATAATCTTCATAATATTAGAATAAAAGTGAAATGTAAAATACTACATTTTTGCCTAAATGACATCTTTTGAAAAATGTTTACAATCTGCATTGGAGCTTATATCTAGTGCTAAAAGTTTAAAAGAATTTTATTTTACAGCAAACATCAAATCAGACGCAAACAGATTCATTATCTCCATCCCCTAATCCTGTGTCACCTGTGCCTCTGAATAACCCAACAAGTGCCCCAAGATATGGAACTGTGATCCCTAATCGCATCTTTGTAGGAGGAATTGACTTTAAGGTACCTTTTATGCATGCAGCATACTATATTTACTTGATATTGATTAGTAGGTTTCAGGTCATCTTAATATAAAAATTTTTGATAATTGTGTAAGTTAAATGAACATGTATAATTTCCCAGTTCCACATAAAAGAGAATTGAGGCTCATTCACCTGGCTATAGTCTCCTGTCTATATGGTGACAGAATAAAACTAGCATCTGCTTTTCTGACTCAAACCCCATTTTGTTCATGTCATCAAAACACACTAATATACTTTCTTGCATAATACTCCCATTTTCAAAATAATGGGTGATTATAATTTTCAAAAGAAGACTCACATTTAAAAAAAACTGTATTAATATAAAACCCCATTTCTTTATCCCAACCTTATTTCAGGTTCCTCAGCAACCTCCCAGACTTCAATCTGTTGCAGATAACTTTCTATGATAGAATTTAGGATTTGATAACAAAAAAAGGCCTATACTGTCAGAAAAATGCATAACAATAATAATTACTTAAATCAAGTAATCAGCCATTTCACTTACCGTAGCAGAGTTGAGAGATAATTTTTAGCACCTCCATATGGGAGGTGATAAACACCTATAAGAAAGGCCTGCATGAATGTTTTAAGTTGAATATCCCTTACTTCCAAATGGATACATGGAAGTATTTCTAAGTTTCTATATTACATATGACATAGGTATTGTCATATGACATAGAGAATGTCTCTTTGACAAAATCCTTTTGGCCATTAGATGTGGTATTTGACATAATACATTATTTCTGCATAATCAATCTGTCACAATTTACTTTTTTTCCTGCTTAAGAAAAATGCCACAGGGTATCTGCCAAAATAATGAGTCTTAAGTATACTTTTCATTAAAAATAAAAAGGGCTGGAGATAAAGCTTGTAAAGTGCCTGCCTAGTATGCATTAGGCCCTGGGTTTGATACCCAGTGCTGCAAAAAATAAAGAAGAAAAGTTTTGTTGTTATTATTGTTGCTGGTTTTTTCGTACTGGGGACTGAACTTTTGCACATGCTAAGCAAGTGCTGTACCCCTAAGCTATGTCTCTAGCCCATTAAATGTTTAAAGACTTTCACTGTCTGGAAAATATTAATGACTGACCAGAAATACTCAGTTCAGAATTCATTTATATTACAGCATCATAGTTTATTTTTAAAGTAAGTCATTAATAAATAAACATTTGTATAGTCAGGTTATTCTGAGTTACTGAAACCCAACAGTATGAACTTTGGAGGCCATTGTTACAGTGAAGCCTTAGCTTTAAGGTAACTGCTATGGTTCCTTGCATAGTGTTTCCCAATAGCTTTCAAAACCATAGATAAATGCCCTCAAATATATAGTTTACTATAGTGGCCAGCGTCTCAGACTTTTTTAAACTCTTATTTTTAGAAGCCTACTGAGAAACTTAGAAATACTTTCATGTATCCATTTGGAAATAAGGGATATTCAACTTAAAACATTCGTGCATGCCTTTCTTATAAGTGTTATCACCTCCCATATGGAGGTGCTAAAAATTACCTCACAACCCTGCTACGGTAAGTGAAATGGCTGATTACCTGATTTAAGTAATTATTATTGTTATGCATTTTTCTGACAGTATAGGCCTTTTTTTGTTATCAAATCCTAAATTCTATCACAGAAAGTTATCTACAACAGATTGAAGTCTAGGAGGTTGCTGAGGAACCTAAAATAAAGTTTGGGATAAAGAAATGGGGTTTTATAATACAGTTTTTTTTTTAAAAATCTGAGTCTTCTTAGTGTTTAATCATTGTGTCTTTCTGTCCTTATCCTCTCATGAAGAAGTAGAACTGCAAAATATAGTGAGTCTTCCACCAGAGAACAGTATGAATTAATTTTTTAATCACTAATAACAATCCTTATTCTAGCATTAATTTCATTTTGTATTTATTAGAATAAAAGACATTCACTAAATCTTAGATTAACTTAATATTTGTCATCATCCAGTTTAGCAAACTTTTTGTTACCAATTAAAAAGTGATAGTATACTTAAGTAGTGAAATAGCAGTAAAACTCAAAGGGTGAAACTCTGCTCTAAGACCTGTCTTTTTCCTATATATAAAGATATTTCTCCCAGAGATGTTTATTCTTGGATGCAAACAGTTGCAACTAAACCAGAAAATGAAAGCACTGTGAATATAGTATGAATAATCTAGGAAAATATGTTTTAAGTCTGTTATCGGACTATTTCAAGTAAAAACCACAGTGTAAAAATCATCTTTGTACATGTTTTATACATTATAAGTCTAACTTATGATGTTGTTATTTTAAATACCATCATAATGTCTGAATTTACTGAAATGTATGTTGAATACAAATAAAGTATCTAATAAATTTAAATCCCATAGTTAGTCCATTGTTATCACAAATTAAGTTCAAGTAATTGTGGAAATATATTCCTTTCCTAACCCCTGACTTTTCCTGGAGATTATGTTGATAATAATAAAGTAACTGGAATAGGCCAATGTTACTTAGTTTTATTGTCATACCTGTCAGCCTTCCTGAGCCACAAGATTCAATAGTAATATGTCCTTACTGTGGTTATAGCATGTCTAATCCAAATTTGTGTTTTCAAAACTTGTCAACTAGAGAACAAGAGTGACCTAAAGATTCTTTTAAATACTGAGCCTTTTTTAAAGCTTTAGAATAACTCAGCTTAAATTGTTTTTGTAATAGTTTAACAATATAGCTGCTGCATAAAGCAAAGGATTTGTATTTATTTTAATGACATAGTAGTTTCCGAACTGTTTTAAGGAGAGACATTCTTTAACAATAGTATTGTTTATTTATAACTTTTTCTGTGTCCAAAACATATGAATTGTTTCATCTTTTATTTATTAAAAAGGTTTCCTAATGTTTTCTTTTTATGCCATTAGACAAATGAAAATGATTTAAGAAAATTTTTTTCCCAGTATGGATCTGTAAAAGAAGTAAAGATTGTAAATGACAGAGCTGGAGTGTCCAAAGGGTTAGTATCATTACAGATAGTATATAGAATTAACAGTTGTGTTCTTATTGAATTATTAGATTTTTTTTACCTATTTGATTTCATTTTTTCTTTTTTTTCTTTTTATTGATTCATTTTAGTTATACATGACAATAGAATCTGTTTTTATAAAATTATACATGCATATTTATATCATTCTAATTAGGTCCCCATTCTTGTAGACATACATGATGGTGGGATTTGCATAGGTCTTTTCAGATATGTACATAGGAAAATTGTCAGATTTATTCCACTGTCTTTCCTATTCCCATCCCCTTTTATTTCCCTTCATTCCTCTTTGTCTAATGTACTAAACTTAAACTTCTCTTTTTCCTCTATCCCATTATTGTGGTAGTTTTTTGTTTCAACAGAATTCCATTCCCTCTCTTTTTCTTTTACCTTTCAGTCTATTTACGTGTATTAGACACTTGTGTGTGTGTTTTAGTGGGATGGGAAAGAATACTATAATTTTCCTTTATTTATTGGGAATGTATGTTGTGTAGACTGAGGGCCCATTCAGTGTTAAACAGCAAGCACTTAATGTTGAGAACCAAATGTATTGGTAGCTATGGGTCCAGAAGCTTAAAGATCAGATACTTAATGAATCTTCTCCCTCCTTTAGATTATTATAAAATTTTATTTAAAAACAGCTGACTCCAAGGAATGTCTTTAGATTGTGTCTGAGAGACTTAATTAGGGAACTAATATGAGAAATATAACTTTAATGAGAAGGATTTTTAATTGTCATATCAAGGAGATTGAAAATGAGAAGAAAGCAATAAGGTGTGTCTGGAAATGTATAGAGCTGTTTCAGTAGATTGCTGTGTGTACAAAAGCCAAATTTTGGAGAGGGGAAAGGTAGTTCACATAGTGCATTCACATAATGAATTTTACTGCAAAGGTAAAATAAAAGAGAGAAGGCAGTGGAGACCAGTGAAGGATTCTGTTTATTTTATAGAAAGAGGGACAGGACACGAATATTTACAGACACAAAAAAAGGACCAATGAAATAGATACAAACAATATTAGTGAGAAACAACATATGGCAAGTGAGTATTCTGGAAAAGATGGGATCCTATTCTTTATAGGTTATTTTTAAATAGATGAATATTTCCTAATAGTGCCAAATAATATTCAGATGAGTTGAGATTATCCCTTTTTTGTATGGCTATCATAATTTGTATTATTTTGTTAATATCTAATTTCTATCATTGAATAATGCACAAGGAAATGTAAGCTGTATTTTATGCATTTTCCACTGGATGGTGTACGTGTTCTACAAAAAAAAAAAATAGTGTAAAATAGTTAACTCTTATCTAATGTTTGGGCAAACAGATAAAGAGAAAGTCCTTTATCTATAAAGAAACATTACCAGGTGCAGTGGTGCATACCTGTAATCCCAGCAACTCAGGAAGCTAAGTCAGGAGGATCATAAATTCAAAGCCAGTCTCAGCAACTTTTCAAAGCCCTAAGCAATTAAGTGAGTCTCGGCCTCAAAATAAAAAATAAAAAGGGCTGGGGATGTGGCTCAGTGATTAAGTGCCCCTGGTTTCAATCCCTGGGAAAGAAAGGAAAGAAGGAAGGAAGGAACTTTAAATATGATCAATCATTAAAAACAAAAGGAAATTAAAGGCTATTTTGCACTACTCAAGAATTTCATTATCTAAATAGAAATTATGTTTTCTTAGATTTGTTTTTTTTATTCCTTTTAGATATACATAATAGTCTGTATTCTGACATATTGTACATACATTGAGTATAACTTATTCTAATTAGGATCCTATTCTTGTGATTGTACATGATGTGGTGCTACACTGGTCATGTATTCAATATAAGGATGGAAATTTATGTGCGATTCATTCTACTGCCTTTCCTGTTTCCCATCCCCCCCTTCCCTTCATTCCCCTTTGTCTACGCTAATGAATTTCTATTCTTCCCTTCCCCACCCTCCCTTGTTGGGTTAGCATTCCACATATCAGAGAGAATATTCAATAGCCTTTGGTTTGGGGGCACTGGATTACTTCACTTAGCACAATATTCTCCAGTTCCATCCATTTACCAGCATATGCCATAATTTCATTCTTCTCTATGTGTATATATATCAAATTTCAGATACACTTTTATTGTTTCCTTTTTCTCTACCTAATTTGTTTTTTGGAAATGGCATAACTCATATTTGTATCTTGAACATTATATGAATTATACTTGTATGGAAAAAACAGACATAAAAGCTAGGTTGTATACATTTTAACTGATACTATTTGGGAAACATACTAATAATTGTATAATCAGTTTATACATGCCAATAATAATTAATACATTTATACAATCTTTTACCAATACAAGAAATTTTATTGTGCTTAGATTTTTAATTTTTTTAAGTTTTTTTCTACTTTTATTCCTTGAAAGCCAAACTTCTGCTACTTTAAAGGAGATTATTGCTTTAGACCAAAATTCATTACATTCCAATTTTTAAACCAGAACATGAATCTCATAATTTTCAACTCAGGAGTGAAATTATTTCAAGATCCCTGGTTTCTTCCTTTTATTTTCCTTTCAGTGCCCTGACTTATGTTGTGAATGATTCCTCTAAGATTCCTATGCTGTTACAATATAGAAAGAGGCTAACTCCTACAGTGACCTATCCTTAAACAAACAAACAAACAAAAAAGATTATTTTGGTATAGGACTGGGGATGTAATCAGTGGTAGAGCACTTACCTAGCATGTGTAAGACTGAGTTTAGTCCCCAGCACTGGAAAAAAGAAAAAGTTTAATATAACTAATGTAATGTTTTAAGAAAATAATTATTAATGATGCAATTTTTTTAAGGTATGGTTTTGTCACTTTTGAAACACAAGAAGATGCACAAAAAATTTTACAAGAGGTAAGTTCTTTGATGCATTTAACTTCATTTTTGGAGCATGTCTCCTTGAAACTAATACTTTAAGGTGTTTAATAATAAAGTACAACTACAGTAATGAACTGCTTTAAAAAAAAAAGTATGTGCCTTGTAAGACTGCCATTGATATCCAAGAAATGCTGCAGAAGGACAATTTCCAAATCATTGCATGACTGTGATTATGAGGCTGTAGTAAAATTCTTTTCATCTGTTTACCTGAACTAATAACTTGGAGATGTATCTTTTGTGAAATGATAGTAAGATCTTGATTCCTAAAAATCACCACAAACACAGAGCAAAATTATCTGAGATTATTTTTCTTTATGAAAAACTTAATACAAAGTAAGATCATTCATAGAAAAACTTGTACCCTGTAGTTCAATGTAATAATTTTGAATTATGGCAAATGTAATGTTTAATTTTTTTAGAAAAAGTAAGAGTTTTAATTATATATTATCAAAATAATAAACAGTTGAATCTTGTTATTCATTGTAGTTTATTCTATAAAGTTGCCCTGAATACTAAATTAGTGAATACTGAACTGTTGCTGTTCCTAGGGGAAATACAATATAAAGTTCCCAAGAACCTCTGATTACAATATTGTCATCAGTCAGTCAGTACATACCTTGTTTTGTTATGTTTTTATTTAAATACACCCTATTTAATATACTATTGATTCATTAACATTGAATTTACGGCCACCAGCACTATCATTCATGCCTGAATTAAGCACATATAATCCATATTTTCTCTATAAGGCATATAACAGGAACTTGTGCTTAGGACCATAAGCCAGCACTTCAGCACAGCACTATACTTGGAGATCATTTTAAATAACACAATCACTAACAAAAAATGTAAAAAAAATGCAGCACTAATTAGAATATGAAAAAAGATACTTTTTTATATTATGAAAACTGAAAAGAAGAAATAACATTGCATTGTTTGACCTCCACTGGGAACTCATATGTCAGGCTACTCAAATTTTTCACCATTTAGCACATGTTTACTAATAACCTTGAAATCACCACAAGTATTCATTTGAGGTTACAAATAGATTTTGGTAAATAGGCAAATTCATGAATATAGAAGCAATGCATAATGAGGATTGACTGTGTTACAAATAAGAAGTTACAGTCGGAATATTGGAACCAAAATTGAGACCCAGATTATTTGATTCCAAAAGCTGCCCTTTCTACTATGCCCTGCTGCTTTCAAAAATAGTCTGATTTTTTAAAATTGTTTCTCATTAGTTTTTATTTGTTGGTGTTAGAAATAGCAATACCAGAATAATAAAGTTGTTTGTTTTTTCTTTATTTTAGGCTGAAAAACTTAATTATAAAGATAAGAAACTGAATATTGGACCAGCAATAAGAAAACAACAAGTAGGGATCCCTCGTATGTATTGAGAACTAATGTATTTTTCAATATTTTTTATAGTCCTTTCTGAAATATTTATAGAATCTTCTTAAAACATCATGTTTCTTTCATCTAATAAAGTTGTTTTAGCAAAGTTGGAGGTCACATAAATATATCTTGCCCCAAATGAACCCGTTTTATCTCATCATCCTAGATGTAGAACACCTATAAAAACTTAAATATAGTATAGATGAATAAAATGTGATATACAATATAATTATAATAATAAAAATATAATTTAACATGAATTAATATAATATATATAAACTAGATTATTATTTCCAACCTATTTTAATGCACTTGTGTCAATTTCATTGAAAGATTCACAGAATGAAAACTTAAGACTTAGTGGGTTAATATATCTTAGTTTTGGGAGACTAAGGAAAAATACACATAAATAATGTTGCTTACTTATATTCTGTATAGGTACATCTTTAAAGAAAAGATCTTTTATGATGAAAATATTTTAAATAGTCAAAGCAATAGGAGTGATTTGGTAATTTAGAATTACTAATTATAAAATTTTCAAGTTGGGAAAGTAATTTAAAATTTACCAGCAAAAATACTGAAAGTGAAAATATAGAATAGCAGAAACCACTGCATGGTATGTACTGTAACCCAGACACAAGTGTCATAACTATAAGTGTGAATAATCACTAAAACTTTAGGAATTAACTTATGTCTGTTTTCCTCAAATTTCTATAATGCTTTCAACTTTTTTCTCATTAATTAACTTGTTAATTAACTTCTTGCCTTTAACATTTATTGAGATATTAAAGAGGAAACATAAAATTACCTAACTTTTTCTTATTTTTCCCTAGCTTTTTCCTAGTTTCTGCTCGAATGTTTAGGTAGTTATTATATCTCTCTTAACAAATTGATGTTTTTGCTCATTTGAATTGTTCTTTTACTTATGAGTTAACAGAATTAATTTTAATTTTGACTTAGTGTTAATGTAGCTCACTTCAAAATGGAATGCAGTAAACATGGCAGAAAGCTGATATTTTCAAATTATTGTTAGTTACAAGAGTTAAGTTGTAATATATAGTAACATTTCTTTATCCCATTATCACCAGCAGTAAGTACCAATTAGTAATGTTCATATTTATGATCCACCAGTTGCTAAAATAGAAAATAAATCAGTACTATGTTTAATGTTTTCAAATATATGAAAAGTTTTTTTTTCAGAACTATTCAGCATGAGGGTCAGTATTATGGGTTTTCGTTGATCTCCTTAAATCTTCACAGCAATCTTTGAGATATTATGAGGTCTATTTCTAGAAATAGAGAACTCATTCTTAGGGAAGTCATTGTTTTAAAAACATTTCCTCTGAAATACTCCTAAGGCAAAATTAGTCTTGGCCAATTGTGGGTCTTAACCCAATACAGTATACTGAAATTACAAGTTTTCTTTATTGTTTTTTTTGGGGGGCGGGGGCGGTTGAGGGGGATACCTGGGATTGAATTCAGAGGCACTCAACTACTGAGCCACATCCCCAGCCCTATTTTATACTTTATTTAATAGAGAAAGGATCTCACTGAGTTGCTTAGTGCCTCGTCATTGCTGAGGCTGACTTTGAACTTGCCATCTTCCTCTCAGCTTCCTGAGCCACTGGGATTACAGGAGTGTGCCACCATGTGCGGCTTACAACTTTTCTTTAAATCTCATGGTTTATATAAAAATTACTTCATGCATAATTTGCATTCTGTTCATAATATCATATTTTATATAAAAATATTTCCTTAAAATAACTGTTTGATTAACAGATTCTATAGGAACATCACTATATTCACCCTATGCCTTTTCTTACCTCCTGCCATAACATAACTATATTCAAACCTATAAAGTATGAGGTTAACTTAACCACATGGTGGTAGTATTAGCCTTCAAATCTAGGACTGTTTGACCTTAAAGCTATTTTTATCTTTCTACAAAGAAAAATGGGTATTAAAAATACATTTGCAAAATACAAGATATTCTTAATTTTTTCTCAAATCCATTACTTCTTTCCATCTTTGTTACTAACACCCTAGTCTCAGCTATCTACTTTGTTTTCCTTGATTACCGGAAAAGTCTTGCTGGTCCCTATGAATATAATCTTGCTACCTTCCATTTCATCATTCACAAGGCAGCCGTAGTGATCTTTTAGAAGTTCACACTTTATCATCTCATTTCAGCTTGTTTTGAGCTGTTCTTCCCTTTTCATTTTGTGCTTCAGCCATCTGGCCTTCTCAGTTTCAGAAACCACACTTTGCTTCCCAAACACTGAAATGCTATTTCCTTTGCCAATACCATTCATCCATTCCTTCTTCAAAGCCAGCTCAGCAATAGTTTTCTCACAAATGTTCCATATATATGGAGAGATTAATTAATTAATTATATGAACTAATTACTTTATATTACATATAATACATTTGCTATAACAATGATATTATATATTTTATTAATTATATAATTATTATATATAAAATAATATTAATGTCCTGCATGGTGCCCCATATGGCCTAGCATTATACCCTATATCACTTTTTCATACATTTATCAAACATTTAATTAATTGTGTAATTAGCCAATGACTATCTTCCCTAACTTCTCTGGAGATAGAGATGATGCCATGGCCAGTTTTTAATTTTTCTGTATCATCAGGTCTTAGTTCAATGCCCTTTAATAGTATGCACTAAAAATTTATTTATGTATTTCTCTCTTTAACAGATAAACCATTATTCATTGATGATCTTTGGGGGGAATCCATGAACCTCCTGAATTGTGTGTAAACTTTTGTTTGACTATACATATTTCTGAGAAAAAGGTCCATGGCTTTCATCAGATTCTCAAAAGAACATGATTAAAAAACGCTAAAACACTAAAATACTAGATCCAATGCAGTGAAAATATAAAAGCTAAGAATTGGTAGTGCTACTTAAAATGGTAGTCTAGTACTACTTGAAGTGGTTTGCAAACAATATCAATTCACTTGAGAACTGTTCAAAATGCAAATTCTTAGGCCCTATCTAACTAAATCAAAATCCCTGGAATTTGTATTTGTTTGCTTTTTTTGTTACAAAATGTACAATATAATTATATGCATTTATATTTTTATTTTTTATTTATTTTAATGTTTATTGTTGCATTATAATTACACATAATAGTGGGATTTGTTCTGAAATTTGTATTTTAATAAACTATGTAGGTGATTCTAATGTTAAATTTGGAGAAGCACTAATATAGTGGAAGAAGCATTGCTAATTACAGTAATTTACATAACCTTGCTGGGCCAGTAATCTTAAATTGGCTTATGTAACTTTTTAAAGTCTCCTCCATGACAAAATTGTGTGTGTGTGTGTGTGTGTGTAATCTGATTTTTATTTTCTTCATACCACCTGGCCTGGAAAAAGAGATAAGGACCCCACATTAGCCAAAGAAGTTTCTGGTCAACGTTTGCAACAGCAGTAATTGTAACAAAGGGAAAATGGAGATAAAGAGTTGCAACATAAGTGAATGCTTGCTCTAAACCCAAAGAATTAAATAGGATGGAATAAAACATCTTCAGCAAAGTAGACTTCTCCAACTTTACTGCCTCCACCATCTTTGAACTTTTACAAATAGAAGGTCTAGCTAAGATCTTAGAAACTTTACTATGGTACCTGTAGTCTTCAAGTAACTAAATTATATATGTTTGTAAAAATGACTTAGCTGATGATAATTTAAATTCTTAAGCTCCATGTTTCACTACAGTCTGAATTGGTAGATTTTTAATATTTACTAACCTTGACTCCTTTTAATTGCCTTAAGCTAATAAAAGCTACAAATTAATAAATTTGAAAATACATGCTTCATATGGAATTAAAAAAAATACTTGTGGTATCTTATTGTAGCTATGTGGTGTGTTAAGATAAATATTTTTCCAAGCTATTCAGAAATTACATGTTTAAAAGTTATATTGAACATTTCAATTATTATTATTTAACCTTTGCTTTAGGTTCTAGTGTAATGCCAGCTGCTGGAACAATGTATCTGACAACTTCAACTGGATATCCTTACACTTACCATAATGGTGTTGCATATTTTCATACTCCAGAGGTAACTTCTGTCCCACCACCTTGGCCTGTAAGTAATTTCATTTTAGAAGAGTTTCTCTCTATTAACTATCGAATGTTTTAAAATATTGTTTTATTTCTAAAATATTTTAAACAAATATAAGTAACATAACACCTACTTCCCTACCACTCAAATTTAGTATTTTAACAGTGTTAATATTAACATTTTGCCATATTTAAGTTCATTTTAAAGAAGGAAATAATAAAGTATGATAAATTCAGGTAGTCTCCTTATCCCCAATCCTTTACCCTCTTTTTCTCCTCAGAATATCTTTCCCATTCATTTTATATTTTTACTTCAAATGTATATCCTTAAGCAATATAATATTGTTTGGGCTGTTTCTTAAACACTATGAAAATAATCTTTTTCTACTCAGTACAGCATTTTGAGATTAAAATATGTTGATCTTTTTTAATTATATCATGTTAATTCCTGTATATCTAATTATTTTAATATTTTATGATATCCCATTATATGATTATACTACAATTTTTATATTCCTTTAGTCAGACACTTTAAATTTTTTCTGTTATCAAGTCTACATCCAGTAATCTGCCAAAATACATCCTATTGACATGTATAACTAAAGTGAGTAAATTTTAAAAAAAGACTACATTCAGATCTTGTATGTGTTATACAAGTTTTTCTATGGCAGTAGTTTTCTAAGGTTTTTCTTAATTCTTTTCTATCAGAACTTTGTACACAGAGCCGGGCGCTGAGGCTCATGCTTGTAATCCCAGTGGCTTGGGAAGCTGAGGCAGGAGGATAACGAATTCAAAGCCAGCCTCAGAAAAAGTGAGGTGCTAAGCAACTCTGTGAGACCCTGTCTCTAAATAAAATACAAAATAGGGCTGGGGATATGACTCAGTGGTCAAGTGTTCCTGAGTTCAAACCCTGGTACCCCTGCACCCCTCCCCCCAAAAAAAACTTTTGTACCCATATATTTAGTTTATTTTAATAATTTAAAATCTCCACTCTACAATTCAGAATAAAACTAGTCAAATGAGGAAAACTCAAATAAATGAGTTAATATGTAGCCCCTGTGATGGAGAGTTAATTTAAGTTAGTTCCCTGGATGAAATAAGATGCCATCACCCCTTTGGTATTTCTTATGCCACCTTTTTGCTTTGCTTTCTTATTTTTCTCAGGACATTGCCTTTTTAATTGTGTATTTGTTTGGTCCCAATACTATTTACATTCCATAAGAAAGCATAGCAAAATCTAGAATGAGTGAGAAGTGTGCCTGTCTTTGGGGAAGGAAAAAGGTGATGGTGAAAGGGGAGTTTTTGAAAAGAAGAACCCAGAGTTTACAGACACATTCACACAGGCAGATCAACTCAAGAAGGAGTTTAGTATCTCAAACTATATGAAGTTTGGGATCTGAAAATTGGTATTCATGCTCATGTACCAATGGAAAATTTTCATGCTTCCATAATGTAACTTGGTCTGGACTAGAATATATGTGTAGAATTAAAATTTTACATTCATGAAGTGTATATATATCTTTGGCTAAATGTTGACAAACAGCTTGAAAAAGTCTTATCAGTTTACTCTCTAGACAACAGTTCATGAGGGCTCCAATTTCCCCATAATGTACTAATACTTAAAATTACCAGATTTTTACATTTTTGTCAGTATTTTTATGTAACAATATTTGATTTTACTTTCCATTTGCCTAATTATTGGTAAAATTAAACATTTCATACACTTAGTGGTTGTTCCAGTTTCTTTGTCTATACCCTGTTCTTTGTCCATTTTTCTATTGAGGTCATTTGTTGTCTTTTTCTTGAGTTAATTATATGTAGGTGTAGATTGTAAGTATCTCTTTCCAGTGTGTGGCTTGTCCATTAATATTGTTTATGTTTTCTTATAAAATATTTATCATTTTTTATCTTTCTTTCAATATTGACATGTATTAAATGTTTTCCTTTATGGTTTCAACTTTTAGTATCTTATTTCTAAAAGAAATCATTTAGAACAAGAAGCTAGATAATCTCCATATTTTCACCTAGATCTTAAATCTCTGGTTTAGGTATTGACTAGTCCAACTTTTCCCTGTTTTGCAGTGAGTCTTCTGCCAATTTCTGTGTGCAGATATCTTTCTAGGCTCTCTCATTCTGTTCCATTGGTATATTTGTTTACCCTATTCAACTTTAATTTTTTTGTTTTTGTTTTTGTTTTTTGGCACCAAGGATTGAACCCAGGGATGCTTAACCACATCCCTAGCCCTTTTTATATTGTATTTAGCAACAGAGTCTCACTAAATTGCAGAGGCTGGCTTTGAACTTGTGATCCCCCTGCCTTGGCCTCCCAAGCCACTGGAATTACAGGCATGCACCACCATACCCAGCCCAATTCTGTTTTAATTATTATGTCTCCATCTTAAATCTTGAAAATTGATGGGACAAATCCTCTCACTTATTTCTTCAGGAATCTTTTGTCTGTCCTTAAATCTTTGCTTTTTTAAGGATAAATTTTATAGTTTAACTTGTTTAGATCTGTGAAAAACCATTGTTGACATTCTGTAGAATTACATTCAGCATGTAAATTAATTTGAGACATTTAGGTTTTTTGTAATTTTGAATATTCCCATTCATAAGCAAGATATATTTCTCTATTTATTTAGGTCTTCTTTTAGCTCCATGAAAAACTTTGACTCATCTTTTTTGAATTTATTTTTAGTACACTATTATTATTATTGCTTTTTATGAATGCTATTTTTTAAATCACGTTTCCTAGTAGGTTATTGCTGATGTATAGTAATGCTTTTGATACTTCAGTATTGATACTGTATCAGTAACCCTGCCAAATTCTCATTTAGACAATTGTTTATGATTCAGTATACTTCTATTTCTTTCTGTTCTTTTATTTATTGAGGCTTTTTCCCTTTGAGTTATTACACTGACAGGATCTCTGCTACAGTATTGATGTGATTACATCATAACTTTGTTCTTGAAAAAAGGAACAAGTTTGGTAATTCACCATTCATCTGTTTCCCTCCCTCCTACCCACCTCCCCTCTCCCACTCCCTCCTCCCACCCACCCCCCTCTCACTTTGTAGGCCTTTGGAAAATACAGTTAACCAGAGTTTCATAACCTTGGTTGGCATTATTGCCATTTGGGCCAGATGATTTCTTGTAGAAAATTATTGTCCTGTGGTTGTAGAATGTTTAAAAATGTCTCTAGCCTGCCCCTAGTTATGACACCCAGAAATGTCTCCCAACATTGCCAGATGTTCCCTACAAGGCAAAATTACCTATGACTCATAATTATTGCCCTAAATCAGTTATGGAAGTTATTCTCTATTTTGTCTGCTAAGAGTTTTTATCATAAAAAGACAATGAATTTTTCAAAATGCTTTTTCTGTATCTGCTGAGATTATGATTTTTTCTTGAACCTTCTAAATAGTAAATTACATTGCTATTTTCTAATATTATTCCACGGTACAATTTTATTAACATTAGAATCTGTGAATTGTACAAAACTGATACTTCAGTTTTTTATGGGGGTGAACATTAATACAAAACAATATGAAGTTGGAGTCTATGTTTGAGATTAAATTTTATTACTACCATTAGAGCTGATTTTTACCTGTCTTGAAATACAACTTGCCTATTTTATTAGTGATATGGTGTTGGAGTAAGTCCCAGAAGAAATTACTTATCACTATTATTATTACTAATCAAGTATTACTTGTACTTTCTTCAGACATAAACACATCACAAGTTCACTAGATGGTTAACTCATTTAAATGTCAACTTTTTTAAAATAACAGTTTGACAAATGATTCAGTAAATAATTTATATGCCTTATAAATTTATAATTTATATGTAATAAGGGAATAGAATGTTTATTATTTGTAAGTAGTGGAAAAATCAGATAGGATCATTAATTTAGTTCTAAATGTTATATAAACATAAACTACTGCTGTTTTCCACAATAAAAATAGGGAGTGCCTGGGCTGGGATTGTGGCTCAGTGGCAGAGCGCTTGCCTAGCACATGTGAGGCACTGGGTTCAATTCCCAGCACCACATAAAAATAAATAAATAAAATAGAGGTATGAGTCCATTTGCAAATTAAAAAAAAAGAATTTAAAAACTGTAGGAGGTGTCACCCTAAATCCAGATGTCATATTTCCCTGAATATTCCTATAGAACTGTATTTTCATAATCTTTGAAGGTGATACATTTCAGACTAAAAGCATCTTCTGAGTGGTTTTATCATTAATTACTATGGAAATCAAACAAATGGAAGTAGGAATACTGTGATGATTTTAATAAATAGACTTAAGTAGAATTGGTAATATCAATAAGAGATAGAAAAATAATACTTTGAATTATAAACCAAAAGTTGGTTGGGTTTAGGTAACAATTTAAGATAAATTTTATTATGAGCTATTTTAAAGAATTTTTCCTAAAATGAGTTTTCAATTTTTCTTCTTACAGTCACGTTCTATATCTAGTTCTCCTGTGATGGTAGCTCAGCCAGTTTATCATCAACCTGCATATCACTACCAGGTAGATATCACCTTACAATTAAAATCCTCTATGATACTTTCAATCCTAATTCTGGTACAATTATACAAATTATACAATTATAAAATTATATTTTATATACACTGATACAAATTATAAAATTAAAGGTTAGGTTACCTAGATATACTCAGGAAAAGAGTGTATCTACCAATTTATAAATCATAAGAGTTTTCAATATAAGAAATAATTTCACTTTATACACTTTCCATTTATATATTTAGCAAATTCTACCCTCAAAAATGCCACTTTGATAGGAATATTCCTTTGCTTTTTTATAAATTCTGAGATAGATGATTTCACCAGTTTCTATTAATCAAAGCAAGTAATTCAGTTTAATCAGCATTTACCTCCTTCATATTATTTTTCACTTTATAGTTAAACTGTTATTTATTTAACAAATCCATGAATCATTACATTTCAATGTTTTCCTTAAAACTTCATAAACTTCATATTATCTTGGTCTTTAGTATAATATAGTGGTATCATCCCTTAGCAGTTGAAGTACTCACACTGAATTTACAGTGATTTTGGTTTAGAAGGTAGATCTATGGGGAGATATATCTTAAAGAAAAAATAGCTTTATTTAAAAGGAATAATGGGCTAGAGATGTAGCTCAGTGGTAGACTGCTTACCTACCATACACAGTGTTCTGGGTTTGATCCCTGGAACCACAAAAAAGAAATAAATAAGAATAAAACATTTATTATTAAGAAATAGTATGACTATCTTAAGAAAAAAGTCCTTTATATTGTCATCTTTCATTAAGTACCTTAAAATAAGTTGACCTTTTTTAATAAACAGCTTTATTTAGATATAATTCACATACTAAACATCCACCCACTTAAAATGACTTTTAATGAAGTATACCATAATTAATTTTAGAATATCTTAATCACATACACTTCCCCCCAAAAAAGAAAAACTTAACCTCTTTTTCTCCCACTTCATTCTAAGCAACTAATAATATCTTGCTCTATAAGCTTGCCTATTATGGTCATGTAATATGTAATATGACTTCATTCACTTAGCATAACATTTTCATGTGGCTGTGGCTGTGGCTCAGCAGTAGAGCGCTTGTCTAGCATGTGTGAGACCCTGGGTTCGATTCTCAGCACCACATAAAGATAAATCAATAAAGGTCCAATAACTAATAAAAATATTTTTTTAAAAAATTTCATGATTACAAGACAGGGATGCCCTCTCTCACCACTTCTGTTCAACATAGTTCTCGAAACACTGGCCAGAGCAATTAGACAGACGAAAGAAATTAAAGGCATCAAAATAGGAAAAGAAGAACTTAAATTATCACTATTTGCAGATGACATGATTCTATACCTAGCAGACCCAAAAGGGTCTACAAAGAAACTATTAGAGCTAATAAATGAATTCAGCAAAGTGGCAGGATATAAAATCAACACGCATAAATCAAAGGCATTCCTGTATATCAGCGACAAATCCTCTGAAATGGAAATGAGGACAACCACTCCATTCACAATATCTTCAAAAAAAATAAAATACTTGGGAATCAACCTAACAAAAGAGGTGAAAGACTTATACAATGAAAACTACAGAACCCTAAAGAGAGAAATAGAAGAAGATCTTAGAAGATGGAAAAATATACCCTGTTCATGGATAGGCAGAACTAACATCATCAAAATGGCGATATTACCAAAAGTTCTCTATAGGTTTAATGCAATGCCAATCAAAACCCCAATGGCATTTCTTGTAGAAATAGAGAAAGCAATCATGAAATTCATATGGAAAAACAAAAGACCCAGAATAGCAAAAACAATGCTAAGCAGGAAGTGTGAATCAGGCGGTATAGCGATACCAGACTTCAAACTATACTACAGAGCAATAGTAACAAAAACAGCATGGTACTGGTACCAAAACAGGCGGGTGGACCAATGGTACAGAATAGAGGACACAGAAACCAATCCACAAAACTACAACTACCTTATATTTGATAAAGGGGCTAAAAGCATGCAATGGAGGAAGGATAGCATCTTCAACAAATGGTGCTGGGAAAACTGGAAATCCATATGCAACAAAATGAAACTGAATCCCTTTCTCTCGCCATGCACAAAAGTGAATTCAAAATGGATCAAGGAGCTTGATATCAAATCAGAGACACGCCGTCTGATAGAAGAAAAAGTTGGCTACGATCTACATACTGTGGGGTCGGGCTCCAAATTCCTCAATAGGACACCCATAGCACAAAAGTTAATAACTAGAATCAACAAATGGGACTTACTCAAACTAAAAAGTTTTTTCTCAGCAAAAGAAACAATAAGAGAGGTAAATAGAGAGCCTACATCCTGGGAACAAATCTTTACTCCTCACACTTCAGATAGAGCCCTAATATCCAGAGTATACAAAGAACTCAAAAAATTAGACAATAAGAGAACAAACAACCCAATCAACAAATGGGCCAAGGACCTGAACAGACACTTCTCAGAGGAGGACATACAATCAATCAACAAGTACATGAAAAAATGCTCACCATCTCTAGCTGTCAGAGAAATGCAAATCAAAACCACCCTAAGATACCATCTCACTCCAGTTAGATTGGCAGCCATTATGAAGTCAAACAACAACAAGTGCTGGCGAGGATGTGGGGAAAAGGGTACACTTGTACATTGCTGGTGGGACTGCAAATTGGTGCAGCCAATTTGGAAAGCAGTATGGAGATTTCTTGGAAAGCTGGGAATGGAGCCACCATTTGACCCAGCTATTCCCTTTCTCGGTCTATTCCCTAAAGACCTAAAAAGAGCATGCTACAGGGACACTGCTACATCGATGTTCATAGCAGCACAATTCACAATAGCTAGACTGTGGAACCAACCTAGATGCCCTTCAATGGATGAATGGATAAAAAAAAATGTGGCATTTATACTCAATGGAGTATTACTCTGCATTAAAAAATGACAAAATCATAGAATTTACAGGGAAATGGATGGCATTAGAGCAGATTATGCTAAGTGAAGCTAGCCAATCCCTAAAAAACAAATGCCAAATGTCTTCTTTGATATAAGGAGAGTAACTAAGAACAGAGTAGGGTCGAAGAGCATGAGAAGAAGATTAACATTAAACAGGGATGAGAGGTGGGAGGGAAAGGGAGAGAGAAGGGAAAATGCATGGAAATGGAAGGAAACCCTCAGAGTTATACAAAAGTACATACAAGAGGAAGTGAGGGGAAGGGGAAAAATAATATAAGGGGGACAAACGAATGTCAGTAGAGGGAGCAGAGAGAGAAGAGGGGAGGGGAGGGGAGGGGAGGGAGGATAGTAGAGGATAGGAAAGGCAGCTGAATACAACAGACACTAGTATGGTAATATGTAAATCAATGGATGTGTAACTGATGTGATTCTGCAATCTGTATATGGGGTAAAAATGGGAGCTCATAACCCACTTGAATCAAATTGTGAAATATGATATATCAAGAACTATGTAATGTTTTGAACAGCCAACAATAAAAAATTTAAAAAAAAAAAATCATGATTTATTCATGTGATGGCATGTATCAGTACATTTTGCAATAAAATCCCATTGTATGATTATACCACACTTTATTTTCCATTCATCAGACAATAGATATTTGGATTGTTTTCACTTTTTGGTGTTCATAATAATGCTGTGATGAACACTCATGCAAGTTCTTGTCATATTACATATTACATGACTCATAAGTCTTACACCTAGAATGTAATTGCTGGCTCATATGGTATTTTGGTGTTTAACTATTTAAGACCACACTGTTTTTCAAAAGGACTGTTCCATTTTTATATTCCCATCAACAGATTATGAGGTCTGTAATAGCTCCATGTCCTTGCCAATACTTGTACATCTATCTACCTTTTTTGATTATAGCCATCTTAGTGGATATGAATGAAGTAGTATCACATTGTGGTTTTGACTTTTATTTTCCTGAAGACAGTGATGTTGCAGATGTTTATTGGTCATATGATATCTTTTTTGAAGAAAATTCTATTCATATTATTTGAATAACCATTTTTAACTTAGGTTACTTGTGTTTTATTATTGAGTTTTAAAGGTTCTTTATATATTCTTGAAATAATTTCATTATCAGACACATGATGAAAATATTTTCTCCCATCTTGTGGGTTGTCTTTTCATTTCCATAATGCCATCATTTGCAGCATAAATTTTTTTTAATTTTGATTAAGGTCCAGTTTATCTGTTTTCCTTTGTTGCTTTGTTATTGTTATAAATTTATAACAATTGCCTAATTCAGAGTTACAAAGATTTACAGCCATGTTTTATTTCTAAGTATTTTATTGTTTTAGCTTTTACATTTAGGTCTCTGACCCATTTTGAGTTAGCATAACATTTTCATGATTTATTCATATGATGGCCAACTTCACAGAGTTATCCAGTTTTAAACCTTGTTTATAACCTGGGTGGTATTTTGTTTATTGTTTTTTTTTTTAGGCCCCAGCACAGTGTCTACCAGGACAGTGGCAGTGGGGTGTTCCTCAGGTAAATATTAATAAAGTTTCAATGTCTAATTTCACAGGCCACAGCTGGCACTTGCCTGCAATCCCAGAAGCTCAGGAGGCTGAATCAGAAAGATTGCAGGTTCAAAACTAGCCTCAGCAGCTTACACAGGCCCTATGTAACTTAGTGAGACCCTGTTTCAGGATAGAAAATAAAAAGGGCTGGAGATGTGCCTCAGTGCCTAAGTGGCCCTGGGTTCAATCTCTGGTACCAAAATAAATAAATAAATAAAATCCATATTTTACTTTATTCTTATGAAGACTGCATGAATAGAGATTTATACAGACAGTGAATTCCTGGAACCTATTTTCCAACCATGAATAAAATCTTTACAATTATAATTATTGATATTGTGTACCTTAATAAAAGCCAAAAAAATGAGTACTAAAGTCAGGAGAAGTGGGTTTGAGACCTTTCTCTTCTTTGTGTTAAGTGTGATCATTTATATTCACATTTCCTCATTTTTAAAATGGATGTAATAACACTACAACTTGGTAAGTTTCCTTACATGATTTTTGTGAAGATCAAATAAGATCGTGTAAGTGAAAGCATATAAGTGAATGGTACATTAACATGAAGAATTACTTTTTTATACTGTTGGTGTTATTGGAAAATTTAGCACTTCTCTACCTTTACTTCAGATTTTGCTTCAGTTTGACTTATGCCTCTAAATAAGTACAGATTGTGTATACTTCATAAAGAAGGCTTGGGAACTAAAGTGTTTCATTTTTCTGAGTGTGTCTGAGTGCTTTGGATTGGGGAGTATTTGCATAGCCTTTATTATTTGAGCATCCCTAATCCAAATCTAAAATGCTCTGAAACTGAACTTCAGTGATGTTCTACCTGTATTCTGTTTTCTAACTTTTGATATCAAACAGCTTACTACCAAAAATATCGGTGACTTTTTCTCACTTCTATGTCAAGACACAAATCTGGGAGTAAATACTTATACCATTTTAAATACCAGAGGCCATATAACTACAAACTTTAATGATGTTAATACATCCACAATTAGTGTCTAAATTTGTGAAGGAGGTTCTGAGGCACTAAGAACTTTTAACACTTACCAGTGATAATGTTCTTTATTGATATCTGCACAATTGGAATTTATAATAACCCAGAGTTCCTAGTCTTTTGCTAAGATAGTTCTATGCTAGCTCTGAAAAAGAATTTTAGGAAAATATGAAATATATATTTCTCTTTTCTGTTGGGTAAGCATTTGGTTTAACAGAAATAACTAATCATATTCGAATGAAAAATATGGTTTTGTGTTTTAGTCTCCTGCCTCTTCTACTCCATTCTTATACCTCCAACCTTCTGAAGTTATTTATCAACCAGTGGAAATTGCACAAGATGGTGGATGTGTTCCTCCTCCACTGTCTCTCATGGAAGCTTCAGTTCCAGAGGTATATATTAGTCTTTGTTGTTGTTGTTGTCCTAAGGATTGAACACAGGCCATTACATTTGTTCTAAGGATTGAACACAGGGCATTACATATGATAGGTAAGCATTCTACCACTGAGCTATATTCCTAGCCCTATATTAGTCTGAAGGTAATTGCTACTGTTAACCCATCTTAACATTTCATTTTCTTCTTTTTTAACTTAAGACCCTCATTAAAACTGCTCATCTTATGTTTTCTTTGATTTATTGATATTTCTTATCCTTTTTATGTCTAACAGTGCTTCATTTTAGATTTCTTCACTAACTAATCCTGAATCCTTCCCCAAGTCAACTGCCCACTAAGCTAATCCCTGACTCAATCTCCTTGAAAGTAATGAGACACCAAATTTTTGCCTTACTCTTTTGCCTTTCAGTCTGTATTGCTGCTCACGTTGTTACTTAAAAGTATTTAGTCATTAAACAAATTAGGAAAATATCTAAAAAGAATTTCCCTTCAAAACTATAAATCAGGGGCTGGGGATGTGGCTCAAGTGGTAGCGCGCTCGCCTGGCATGCGTGTGGCCCGGGTTCGATCCTCAGTACCACATACAAAGATGTTGTGTCCGCCGAAAACTAAAAAACAAATATTAAAAAAATTCTCTCTCTCTCTCTCTCTCTCTCTCTCTCTCTCTCTCTCTCTCTCTTTCTCTTTAAAAAAAACTATAAATCAAATTTATAACTAAAAATTATAAATGTCACCTCAAGTGTCTTTAAATTATAACCTTGATGCATCACCAATAGTCTCATTGTCTCTATGCCAAGAACTGCACATGATATGTTTTAAATCATACTTGTAAAAGATTAGAAATTAGCACCAACCTCCAAGTTTGAGTGCATTGTTTTATTATTTTTCTATTGCTAAGGTTTATAACATAATTTTGTTCTGAAATAGCTTCTACAGTTGGATCTCAGTGTTTATTATCAACACTTCTACTAAAATCACTTCATTATTTGTCTCATCCTCCATTTTTGTGATTGCTTTTTTCTCTTCTCCAGCTTTACTGAGATACAACTGATGAATGAAATTGCACTATAGACATTAAGGATGTTTTGACATAGGAATATATTATGATCACCACAGTCAAGTTAATCAATGACCTTAGATGGTTATTCTTTTTGTATTTTGTTGTTGTTTCTTTGTTTATAGTGAGAACATTTAGGATCTATTCTCAGCAATTTTCAAATATACAACACATTATTGTTAGCTATAGTCACCATGCTGTGAAGTATATTTCCAGAATATTTTCATCCTAACTAAAAGTCTATACCCTTTGACAAACATCTTCTCATCCTCCAGCCCCTACCTATCATCATTTTACTCTCTGCCTCTATGAATTCAATTTTTTCAAATACTAAATATAATCATGTGGTATTTATCTTTCTATGTCCGTCCTATTTCATACCATAATGCCCTCCAGGTTCATCCATGTTGTTACAAATTACAGGATATTATTTTTTAAGGTGTAATAGTATTCTGTAATGTGATAATAATGCATTTTCTTTATCTATACATCAATACACAGTACATTAAGATTAATTCTATATTTTGGTTATTGTGAGTAATGCTGCAGTGAACATGGAAGTTCAGATATCTCTTCAAATTATTATTTCATTTCCTTTGGATATATTCCCAGAAGTGGGATGAGATTGTTGAATTAAGTAGTAATTTTTTATTTCTTTAAGAAACCTCCATACTGCTTTTCAAAATGACTATACTAATTTACATTCCTACCAACAGTATACAAGAATTTCCTTTTCACCACATCTTTGCTGGTGATCATTTTGGTTCCTAGTTAAGTCTCCTTTTATCACAGGTTTTCTATATGGGGATATAATAATTGCTACTTCTTTTTCACCTTTACCCTGCTTCACTTTGGCAGTGTTCCTCAGTTAGAAGGGTAGGTAGTAAACATCAAAAATGATGTGAACATGATTTCTTTGATTCTATTTCCCCTTCTGTTAAACAGTGTAAAATTGGATCTCTGTACAGATACCCCCTGATTCTACGTTGGCCTGATCATACAATGCACCCCTACACTCAAGACTGTAAAGAATCTTTGAATAGGTCTGACCTCTAAGGAAATCTTTATCCTTCCTGATGTCTGAGAAGGCCTCAGAATCCTCCCTCATAGTGGTCAAATTGTACAGCACTTGGCAGGTATATTCTACATTGTTTATAGCTTGGGAATCATGGACATTTTCTTAATTGATGATGGCATTTTTAAAAAATCAGTCTTTTGTTGTTTTTGTTGCTTTCTGGTTTGCAAGGAAGAGCAGTGAAGTAAGAATGTTTTTATCTTAGATATTTACTTTTGGCATTAAACCATATTCTTAATTCCTGATATCAGATAACTTATCATCAGAATTTTTATATTCACTATTTACTGGAATTTTTATCTTATAACTTGTAATTTGTGCAGTATTTCCTTACAGAATGATATTTGCATGCTTTTATTTTAATATTGTTTCTGGTAAAGATATAATCTAATATATAATGTAATGAATAGAGTAGGGTGGTTTATTGTTTAAATAGTTTTATCCCTAAAATTAAGGAGTGCATGGCTTTTCTTGTGAGTTATTATGGTTAGATTTCTAATTTATGGAAACAAAATCAGTTTCTAGCCCCCAACATACAAATCTACCCAATTCCTGACTTATCTTTAGTGTCATATATTTATTTAGTGACTATCAGTCTTAATCCAAGGTAATTTCTTCCTCTTATGCTCTAGATAGCTTCATTCTCCTCCTCCTTGAGCATCTCACCCCATCTATTATCCTTTATTTTTTCCTTTGTATTTTAAGTCTTTTTCTCTTCATTCATTCACAGCTTCATTTAATCTACTGGTTTGAGAAACAACCTTCACAGTCTTTCCTTCATGATTTCCTTTTTTGTAAAATGAGGACATCAGGAAAATCTATTTTACAGAATCAATGTAAAAATTAGAGGTGTTGCATAGAGAGTGCTCTGTATAGTGCCTAGCATCTTGAAAAAGGCAATTATTATCCTGTGACACTCTCTTCCACAAATACCGATATTCTTTTCTACCATTCAGTATTTCTACTGCTTCACTACCGATTTGCTCTACATTTGCTGAAGTCCGCTTCATTTAACTTTCTGCTGAAAATGCCTTTGAATAAGGTCTTCCTCAAGGACTTCCTAATTGCCAAATATTCTTCCTTCCTTTTAATCTTAGTTGACCTTTCAGAGACATTATACATACTCCTTGAAACTCCTTCTACCCATAGTTTCCATGACACTGCTCTCTCTGGCCTTCCTTTACATCCCTTTATTTTCCCTTGTAATCTAATTTTGCTCCCATAATCATGGTTGGTTCTCCATTCTTTCACTCTATGTATTTACTGCTGTTATTATCATCCATACTTATATCGTAAACCCTAACCACACCCTTGAGTTTTAGACTTCACTATCCAATATAATAGCCAGTAGCTGTAGGTGGCAGTTGAGCACTTGAAATATGGCAAGAACAAATTAAGAATGTCCTGTAAATGTAAACTGTACACCAGATTTTGAAGGTGTAGTATGAAAAAATTATAAAAATGTCAACAATTTAATATTGGTTATACTTTGATATGATACTTTAAGCCTATTGGTTTACATAAAATATATTATTAAAATTAATTTTATCTGTTTAGCTTTACTTTTATAACGTAGCTACTGAAAAATCTTAAGTATATATGCAGCTCATATATTTCTATTGGACAGAGCTGCTTTAGAGCCATCTAACTTTCTATCAACAGTAAACCTCTACTAGAATTCCTACAAATATCATAAATATTATGTCACAAACTTAACTTCTTCTCTGCAACCCCCTCACACACAATTACATAAACATAAGGTTTTCATTGTGTGAATGATACCACCATCTGTTATACAAGCCCTAAATCTGTTTTTACATGATCTGTTCCTGGCCTGTTGCTCTATTGACTCATCTTTCAGCTGTCATTTAGTATATAATCTTTCTTCCAGCCTACTAAACACCTGGGTAGATTTCCCAAATTGGTGTTTTCTTAGTTTCATCTATCCTTTGATATGTAACTCCCTCATTCTTTCCCTAATTCTTTCATATCAAACATCAACTTCACTAGAAAACTTTCACTGAGCACTCTTCCCAACTTTCTTAAACAAAATCAAGTAGTACTTTTTTTTCCTCCCATGCATTATATATATATATATGTCTCATAGGACATATAGTGATTTTTTTACTACCATCTATTTTTTGATTAGATAACAAGTGAATTAAATAAACCTAGGGAGTGTGTTTTTCATCTGTTTCTATCAATTGTGTAACAAAATGCTTATTAGTACATTGTTAACTGCTGAGTAGATGTTTTTAATTAATAGATTAAAGTAATATGTTTTCTCTTCCCCTCCTACCATCCTCCCATCTTTTGTAATAGCCTTATTCTGATCATGGAGTTCAAGCAACATATCACCAGGTTTATGCTCCAAGTGCCATTGCTATGCCTGTGCCTGTGATGCAGCCTGAACCAATTAAAGTAAGAAGTTTGTTTTGATCCTTTTTTCTGTGTTTCTTCAGTTACATTTCAGGTTTTCCAAATTTCTCTTCTGGAAAGGAGAAACTGGATTTATTTTTTCACATTTGTGATTAGAAATTCAAAATTGGGAAACTCCTTGCATGTGGAGGAAATAACAATTCTAAATTAACTGTAATTCCTGTTATTTGTGAAGAGGTTATAAACCATACCTACTCAAAAAATTTTATTTATCGTGTTGAAATGTACATAACTTAAGATTTACCATTTTAATCATTTTCAAGTATATAATTCAGTGGCATTAATTACATTTACAGTGCTATACAAATTGTCACCATTATTTCCAAACTTTTTTCTATTACCCCGAATAGAAACTCTGCTTTCCTTTTTCTCCCCTCCCCCAGTCTCTGGCAACCATTAATCTACTTTCTGCTTATGAATTTTCCTCTTCTAAATATTTTATATACTCAGATTTTCACTGTGTCATTGACACATAACATTTATGAGGAGAAGAAAACAATCAGTGATTTCCTCTTTCTGTTTGTAAATGTTTCCATGCTTCATAAATCAAACTCAGGCCAAACAATGATAGCCTAATTAGATCCATGTATATGTATATTCAGTATATTTTGGCTGTCTACTCTGTAGCAGGGAATTTTTCCTATTCCCTTAAGACCCAGTTTCTTAGTAAAACTATTGCATCATTTTGTTAGAGAAATGGATTTTTATCTCCAGGAAAGAATTACAGATTGATAACTGTTCAGAGGAGAATGTAAATTTTGTGTGTATTGTAGTTTGATGAGGAAAGGGGGGTATTCTTTGCAATAAAATGATGGAGATAAGTTATTTCACACTCAAATTCATGCTTTTCTGATCCATCATATTTGTTGAACTCAATACCAAGACAGTCTACATTAAAGTGCCTCCCCACGCTTGTGTCCTCTCAGCCAATCACCACTCACTGCCATAACTACTTACTGCATCCCTTCACTGCCTTTACTATTATACTGTGAATACCAAATAAAACCCAATTTTGGCCTCGTGTCAAAATCTTATACAAATCTTATTTTTGGAGACTTCATTTTTAGTATTGTTAGAAAGCCTTCTAAAACATATTTCTTCTAATTTAACATTTTTTCTAAATATACTTCTCTAGAAATAGCCAATACTGCTATACCATATTAAATAAGTTTCAGTTATTTTCAGTTTCTGAACTAGAGAGAGAAAGAAGAGGTGTCATAAATAATTGAAGTTGTACTGCTCAAATAAATAGAGAATGGAGTGGTGAATGGTATAGGATAGGAGAAATTTCCAAAGAATGTTAATGTTATACATTCTTCATTTAAAGTTTAATTATTCAGGCTGGGGTTATTCACTCAGTGGTAGAGCGCTTGCCTAGCACATGTGAGGCACTGGGTTTGATCTTCAGCACCATATTAAAAAATAATAAATAAAATAAAGTTTAATTATTCTACCTTAGAAGTATATACTTTAAATTTTCTTAGATCTATGAGTAGGTAGCAACAGAAATGTATCTTACTCTTCAATTTAGTCACATGAAAATTACTAATTCACCTTTTGTTGGAAATGGAAAAAGGAAAATTTAATAGATTTTCAAAGTCAAAATTAAAAACACAAGGCTATTATATGACTTTGTACTTCTTTATTTTTTAATAAAAGTGTTCTATGCATTTTATACTCAGTATTTTTTCATAAGTGACTTAATAGCCCTCAAAAGAAAACAATACCCCACTCATTTCTGTAGTTTTCTAGAACTGTACAACCTTGTAGAAATGCTTTACTATACAAGTTTTACTATGTGGCAAATTATTCACTTTTCCTTATATTGCCTTTGTATTATAACATGGAAATCTTAATATGTGAATGCTGTTATATCATTAGGAAACAGTCTTTTTCTAAAACATATTAAACTGATTTAAAATACTAATGAGCATTTGAAACATTAACCCTTTTCTTCCTATACAAATTTCCCCTGGTACCAAAAACCTTGATGACTTTTAAAATAGGAGGGTGAAAATATTCTTTATAAGAACTTGATCCTATTATTTTTATGTCATATTTTAAACTCTAATGGAAAGATTGATCAATGAGTACCAAAGTTCCATTAAGATAGTAGTAAAAAGTTCTAATGTGCTTTTTGCACAGTTAAGGTGACTACAAATGAACAATAATGTACTATGTATTTTAAAAAAGCTAGAAGGAAATGCTTTGAATGTTCTCACCATAAAGAAATGTTATGTGTTTGATGAGATAGATTTGTTTAACTTGATTTAAACATTACAAAATGTATACATGTATCAAAACGTCACATCGTACCAGCAATGATATGTAAAATTTTTGTTTTATTTATCATTTAAAATAAACACAATTTAAATTTTTAAAAGATATATAACCTCAAAAACTCTGATTATAATTTTGTGAATATTAATTTAGACACATCCTAAAGTAGGAATCTCAGATATCCAAACTATCTTTAAACAACAAATCTAATCAGTGAAATAGAGATCTTCATAAATCTGAAAGCACGAGTCTTACTGCTTATTTAGTAGTTTGCCAGAATCTACTCAAAGCCACAGACTTATATTCTATCAAATCACATACAAAAAAGCAAATACAGAGAATACCAATATAGAGAGTAATACTCTATTACTTAGGGTTATCATTACTTAATTCAACAGTCATATCATATACAGAGTTAAAATTAAAGACAATAATAGGCTGCAGTTGTAGCTCAGTGGCACACTTGCCTGGCATGTGTAAGGCACTGGGTTTGATCCTCAGCACCACATATAAATAAATGAAATAAAGGTATTGTGTTCATCTACAACTAAAAGTATTTTTTAAAAATTAAAGACAATAAAGCAAAGCCACAAATAAGGAAATAGAAAAGTATAACTATACCAACTCTATGAAAAAAATACTTGTATAGGGTACTACATTCAAGGCAAGGATGACTAGCATAGACAGATGTTCCTCAATTTAAAATGAGGTTACATCCCCAAAAAACCATTAAAAGTGAAAATATGATAAGTCAAAAATGCCTTTAAGAGATCCAAGATGGCAGAGATGATGTAAGCTACAGATCTCAACCCTCTGTAGTTTGGAATCAAAGCAGTGAGAACAGCTGATGGAAGAGATAGCCTACAGAGGGAGTGCACAGATTCACAATATTGGAAGGTCAGAGACTTGGAGGGACTCAGAAATTCTGATTACTGGAAGATAAAACAGGAAAGAATTTGTTACCTTAGAACTAGCACCATCAGGGAAGGTCTGGGGAGATGAGTAACAGAGAAAGAGGAAGGGCAAAGCTAACAAGCTTGTTCAGAAACAGTGACAGAAGAGAAAATCAGACTGAGTTAACCTGAGAAAAGAGCTGCAAAGCCACCTTGTGTTGGTGCAGTGCTCCACTTTTCTCAGTTTGTTGGTGGAGAACTGTAGTGGGCAACCATTTTGCAGAGACCAATTAAATCTCTACAATTTTATCCCATTTAGAGATGCCAATACTATCATAGGGAATAACTTTGAAGTGGGCCAGCCAAATAGCCTGACATAAAATTGCTGCAAGCTGAAGGCTGCAGGAGGTGGCCTAATAGAATATACCATACATTCAGGGGAGTACAGGGTCTAGGGTGATACATGTGCCTTTGCAGATCAGGGGTTCACCAAGCACTTCTGCCAGGGAGTGTGGTACCTACAGAGTAGTGCAGACTTCTATAACTGGCCACAGCCATGCCACTGGAGGCCACTCCACACCTGGCCACATTCCCACTCTACTATCCAGTGCCCTGCCACCCCAGCTGCTGCCCTACATCTGAGCTCCCAGTCTGCCCCATTATTCTCTGCCATGTGCTCCCTCACCCAAAGGATTGACACCTATAATAATAAGAGGTGAACCCACCTCTGATTAAAATGTTTTCTTGAGTCTTCCCTCATTGGTTTTTTTAAGGTTCCAACTAAATTTATGTATTCTTTCAATTAAATTTTTTTCTCAATACCACTTTTCTTCTTTCTCATCTCCATCACCGTCCCTTCTCATCCTTCTTTCTTTCCTCATTTTTTCTTTTTTCCCTCTTAATGATATAATTTACTATTAAGTATATTGTCATTAATCCTTAATGTTTCAGCCTTTCTGTATTATTTTTTCACCCAGTTTTCTCATTGATTAGTAAAGTTGTGTGCCGCAGTCTGGCTGGGCACAATCAGGAGCCACTTGTCAAAAGAAACTAACTTTATTTTTAGAACCACACACGACAAACAAAATAGTCTCTCAGGAAAAACCCTCAGAGCCTCAACTGCCACCACCGGCTTTCCACAAGCCTCTCTCTCCCACACAAGCTTCTCTCCACCTCCCACCATCCTCCTGCTCTTGAGGCCGATTGGCTGGGTCACATGGGCGGAGCCAAAAAAGTCCCCCAATGAGCAGCTCCGTGGTCTGAAAGGGCAGGGAAACAGCCCAATGAGCATCACCGCAGAGGAGCCAATCAGCTAGATGTTGCTGGGGCCGAGGAGCCAATCAGCTAGATGTTGCTGGGGCCACTGTGAGCCAGTCATCAGCCAGCAGCTGGAAGTTTGCTGGCAGCTGGAAGTTTGCTGGGGCCCCTTCGGCTGTGGCTCTCAACATCTCCCCCTCTCTGTTTAAACAACAAGCATGTGGCTTAGGGACCGTGCCTGTTAGGCAGTCCAATTCAACATATGGTCCTTACCCGTCATCGGATGAACTGACCTCTAGGCGTCAGCCTCCTGTCTTAGGTTGGTACCACTGCAATTGGATCATACCCGTCACTGACTACCGGTCCAGCATACAGCCATACCTGTGGAAACACACAAACAGACCCCCGACTCCAGACAATCACTGGGTCAGGACCTTAGTTAATCTCTCTGGAATCCAAATTGGCTGCTGTTCTCCCTCTACGGCATCGTGGGCAAATACCCGGTATTCTACCCCTTTGATACCTAGTATTGTTAAACCCTCCTTCTATGGG